TCCATGAGATCTTCAACCTGACGGAGAGCGAGCGCCCGCTGGCAGGTGCGTGCGGGACACGTCCGCGTCCAGGCCAGGTGGGGCTGCCCTGCCCCAGGGCCAGGGGCCTGGCGGCGGGGACCCAGGAGAGCCGCCTGCCGTCTTCTTCCTGAACTTGCTGGGTGGGCGGGTTGGAGGGGCAGGCAGGCCTGCGGTGAGCGGTTTGACAGCAGAAAGGCAGGCAGCCTGCCCCCGAGCAGAGCCCACCAAGCGGGCATCCCAGCCTCAGGGTCACGCGTGCCGGTGCCGCCCAGTCCTGCTCTGGATAAGCTGGTGCACACTGGGGCTACCTGGAGAGCCAGGTGGTGACAGGCAGGTTGGAGTCCAGGGCCCCGGCCATCCTGTCCTCCCTGAAGTGCCCACCTTGCTGGGCTCTCGCTGAAGGGGCCTTCAGTGTTTTGGCACCTGCCGTGTGTGATACCAGCTACAGAAAGCAAACTTGGGAGAATTCCAGTCTTGATCTCCTGAACCCTCATTCTGCGGACCTGGACCACGAACCATGTGCTCTGAGAGCCAGGGCTGCAGTTTGATTTAAATCAAGCTCTTCTTTAAAAACCACACAAAGTCCTGTGCATTCCCGGGGGAGGGGCAGCGCCTGCTGCCCAGGTGCTCTCAGTCGCCGCTTTGTCTGTGATCCCCCTTTCCTCCCACCCTGGGTGGAGGATGAACGTCAGTCCTTGAAAAGCCAGCACTGATGGTTCCAAGGTCAAACCAGAGAGGCTCTTCCCAGCAGGGAAGTCACGGCCATGTTGTCCCCTTCAGTGTGTGAGAACGGCTGGCGCTGCTGCTTGATCAACAGGGACCGGAAGATGCCGACCGACTACATCAGAAACGGGGTCCTGTATGTGACGGAGAAGTGAGTGAGGCGGGCGCGTCCCCGGGGTGGGCTGCGGGTGCTGTGACCCCCACGGTTAGAGGTCCAGGACGGCCCGGGGCTGGGGCCCCCCAGTCCTGTGACTGGCCTGAGCCGGCAGTGCCGTCCCTTCCCCAGGCCCCGGGATGGCCCTGGTCTGGGCTGCTCAAGCCGCGTGGCTGGAGCTGTGCGGTCCCGCCCACAGGGGTCCCAGCCCTAGGGCAGCAGGCAGGATCTTAGTTAGTTTCCTTTTGGGGCGTGGCAGCCAGGCGTGGGAGGTGGGGGAGCAGGTCCAGGGTGGGCTCTGTTCTCAGCATTGGGGGCCCTCGGCCACCTCATCCCCCACCCTCAGCCAAGGAGCCACCCCTCCCCCTCTACCCCTTCTTGGGGGGAACTGGCCGAGTAGACCCCTGGCTGGGCCTACGGGACACTCGCTTCTCTGGTCAGGGTCTCAGTGATGTGCCTGTCGTAGGAACGTGAGTCAGGGTCAGCACAGAGCAGGGGGTTTTAAACTTGAAAAGCCCTGAGACCTTTGTAAAAGTAAAATCTTTCGCGAGAGGCCAGCACACTGTGGCAGGCTTGGGGGGCCTCTGTCTGGGGCTGGGGTGGCAGCAGCCGGCAGGGTCCCCTCTGGTTCACGTGCTGGGTTGGGCTCTGTCCTCCCTCCTCCCCTGCCCCGGGTAGTTACTTGTGCTTTGAAAGCTCCAAGTCCGGCTCCTCCAAGAGAAACAAAGTCATCAAGCTGGTGGACATCACAGACATCCAGAAGGTGGGTGCAGCCCCTGCCCTGCCCTGCCCTCCCCAGGCTCAGGAACACGTGGTTGAGTTGGAGGTCGGGTGCGTTGAGAACGGGGGTGCCCTCTGGAGACTCCGGCGGCATCGCCCCTGCCCGCATCAGGGCTCCCCTTCCAGAAGGTGTTTGTGCAGAACCCCGCGGCGCTGCCAGGCAGTGTCCCTGCACCGTGGGCTTCCTCTCCTTTGCTGCCCCTCCCCGGGGACCAGCACCGGCATCCTCGCAGACAGGAAGGGAGGCGTGGCGAGGTGGGCCCAGGCCCTGAGCCCACTCCAACCGCTGTGCTGTCTGCCCCTGTCCCTGACCCTGTGCCTCAGGGCAGGCTGCCCCTGCTCCACTGTCTTCTAGCACTGTCTGTCCTGTCTGGGGCAGGCACAGGTGTGTGCAGTGCCCGGAAGAGGGGCCGACACACAGACTTGGCAGGGGAGCCAGGCCCACCTGTGCCCCTCTGAGCACCATGGAGGGGCCCTGTGGTCAGCTTGGTGGCAGCTGCTTCCCTCTAGTGGTGTGTCAGGGGCACCCACGCCATGGCTACGACAGATCCCTCCCACTCTCCGTCCATTCCTCCATTCCTCCATCCCTCCATCCCAGAGAGAAGGTGTGTGGATGGTGGGATCTGAGGAGCAAGACCATGCAGGGGGGCCTGTTGCTCACACACAGTGCTCCTCCGGGGCACCCCAGCCCTGCCGTTAGTGATGGTGGGATGGGGTGCTTGGAGGCTTGGTTTCTGAGTCACAGTCAGTCCTTGTCCTCTTGCGGCTGGGAAGGCCCAGGCCCGCATGGGCCTTGCCATCTGGGGCTCCATGGAGAATACCCTGGGGTGTGTGGGGGGGTGGCTGGGCCACGTCCCTGTCCCCAGGTGATGCCTGTGCTGTTGGCTTTCAGTACAAGGTCCTCTCTGTCCTCCCGGGGTCGGGCATGGGGATTGCCGTGTCAACGCCATCAACCCAGAAAGTAAGTTCTGGGCGGGGCGGGGCGGGGCAAGGAGGGGGGTGGATGAGCACGGGGACATTCTTGGGGCGAGGTCAGAGCCCCAGGCTGGCCAGGTTTGCAGCTGGATGGAGCAGCCTGGGAAGCCCCTCCCCCCTGGGCAGCAGGGACCCTGAGGCTGAGCCCAGCGCAGGTGCCCAGGGAGGGAGGGGTGGCGCTGGAAGCCGGGCTTCGGGGCTGCGTGGACCTGGCCGAGGGCGGGCTCACCGACAGTGCGCCCTCCCGCCAGCCGCTGGTGTTCGGGGCCATGGTGCACAGAGACGAGGCCTTCGAGACCATCTTCAGCCAGTACATGAAGATTACGGCGGCGGCGGCGGCCGGCAGTGACAGCTAGTGTCGGCTCCCGGACGTGGCTGGAAGCTTTTCTTTTTTCAGCAGTTTGGTAGTGGAGAAAAATTGGACATCCTCGTGATTTTTTGCAATAATCCCCCGATCTGTGGTTTCTCGTGTTGACCCTGCATTTCACAGACCCCTCGCACAGGGGTGGGGCTCTTGAGGGAGGCCCGTCTCATGGACGTCTGTGGACACAGAGGGCAGGGGGGCCTCGGAGGCCACCTGGAAGGACGACGCACGGGACAGAGCGCGCCCGCCAAGCACAGCTGCTCCTCTGTTCCCGCCCGGGCGGAGCTGGCCGCACAGCCAGGCCTCGGGGCCAGCAGCTCTTCCGCACCAAAGCCATACCGAGGAGCACGTGTGGCCCCTCCCTGGGTGAAGGACGTTGGCGACGAGGGGTGCAGAGGGCCCTTAGCAGCCACCGTGAGCAGCCAGCCCTTGGGGGAGATCCCGTGTGTGTCCCAGCCAGGAGGCCTGTCCTGGGCACCCGACCAGGACACGGTGGTGTGTGGGGCAGTGCACCCGTTCAACACGCCGCACTTCGCAGGGGCCCAGGAGGGCAGCCGCGTCGGGGGCACTGGGCTTTGGGGCTCGCGCTGGCCTCCAGGCCGGGTCGGGGAGGGAGGGGCTCAGGGTGGGAGCGGACAGCCTGCCCCTGCGGGCTGCACAGGGGTCCTTAGGAGCCACCGGCTTTGGGGCACAGCCGTGAGCAGGGACCAGGGCTTTGGAGCCGCAGCCCCGGGGCCCCCACACACGAGTGAAGCCCCAGCCCTCATGGAGGCCGGAGCAGGTGTCTCCCAGGCCCGGTTCTTCCCGGTCAGCCCTTTAAGGTGACGGGGCGTGGGGACAGCACAATGGCCTCAGAGAGGGACACGGGAGGAGCCCGCTGGGCCAGCGAAGCCACCTTCCCGCTCAGCACATGTTCAGTGCAGGCCCCTCTGGTTCCTTGGCTTGTCCTGAGTCCTCTGGGTGTCGCTGAGGTGGATTTTTGAAGAAACAGATTATATTTTTTTACAGAGAGCAAGCTGTTTTTCTTATTTTTGTATCATTTTTCAGATGTAATTTTTACCTTTGCTCTGATCCTCATTTGCTGGTGGCATCGCTCTTGTCACCCCGTCACAGGGGGGGACCTGCCCACCAGCCAGACGAAGCACATGCCCCGGCCCCTGGGTGAGGTCCTGGAGCCCCAGGGCCCGCCCGGCTCTCAGTCACACGGCCATCGGCATTCGGGTGATTCTGCAGGTTGATCTTTAGTAGACGAAGGCAGAGCCCACCCTGACCCTGGCTTTGGCCCCATGGTCAGCGCCTGTGGACCGGTTTTCCTGGGCCCCGTGAGGCCCTGGGGACACACCCAGCCTGTGCCTGAGGCAAAGCAGAGGGGCTGAACTGGCCCAGGAACGGCTGCAGTGGGCAGGGAGTCCAGGATGCTGTTTAAATCCTCTCCCTCGGGGCTGCCGTGGGGCCAGCGCGTGTCCCTGTAAGGCCCCTGTCCCCAGGCGGGGCGGGTGGGCCCTGCAGCACGGCCTGCCCTCTTCAAGCGGCGTGGTTGGCGGGAGTCCCTTCTGAAGATGGAGGGAGATGAAGGCTGACCACGCGCTGGGGGTGCTGCCCCCAGCTGCGCGGGGCCGCAGGCAGGCCCTTCCCGGGAGCCCAGGACCTTTGTCAGGAAGAGGGCGCACCTGTGCAGGCTCGGGGCTCCCCGTCAGAGGGGACCTGCAGCTTTTATTGAATTGTGTGAATCTGGGCAGATACTTAATTTCTGCGACTAATCACTGAACTAGAATGAATGTTAAATTTTTTATGTCTGAAGCTTGAGTCTATTTTGGATCTGTACATAATCGTTACCTGTGTAACTTTTGTTCAACAAAGGATTGTACTATATGAACTGATGAAAAAAAACACGCTGTAACTTTTTTTTAAAGAAAACCTTGTTTAAAGAAAAAGTCTTGTATAAATTATAATTTTTATTTAAATAAACCTGAAATGCTTTGTGCTCAGGGGCGGGGGGCAGCTCGGTTTTCCTGGTAGGGTCCCCATGCACCGTGGGCGGCTGGACTGGGACAGGCTGACACCACTGGCCCCTTGGGGTGGCCCAGGACCCCTGTGGCCACTAGCACTGAAGGGCAGTAGGGATTTCAGCAACAAGGCTGAGGAGTGAGGTGGGCATCCAGGGAGGGCGTGTGGATGGCGAGAAGCTGGGAGGCTGGTGGCTGGTGGCCGGCAGGGAGGGGCATGCAGGGGCCAGTGCTCGGGGCAGCAGGGAGTGGCGGCGAGGGTGCCCAGAGATGGGGCAGAAGCAGCACCTTCAGTTTGGGGTCCAGGTCCTGGCCCCACCCAGAGGTGCCTTCCCTGGGGGCCGTGGGCATCTCTGGGACCAGGTGCTGCACTTGGCCCCCCCCCGAGGTCTGAGGCTGAGGGGCCCTGCTCAGAGGTGGCCTTAGTGGCATGTGTGGCTCAGCTGTCCAGTCACTGACACTGGACACAGAAGGATGCAGGAACCCACCTGGCTACTGCAACCACTGGGCTTGCACACAGACACCCGAGGGCACCCAGCTTCCTGCACCCTGAACCCCCGAGAGGCAGAGGACTGCCTGGGTCCCAGGGAGTGGCCAGAGCTGGATGGAAACCAGGTCCGGTGGGCCAGCTCCACTCTCAGAGCTGTGGCCTCGCACACCACACCTGTCCATCTGTCCACCTATCCTTTCATCCATCCATCCATCCACCACCAGGGCTGTTCCAGGGGCTGGGACGCAGCAGCGACGAACAACCCCTGGGGCCTGGCACACACCCAGCATCCCGGGAGGCTGCCCCTGCCTGGTGAATCCTGACAACACAGGAACGTACTGTTTACAGCAGCGCCGGTGAGTGGATCTGATGAACGTAGGGTAAATAGAGAAGGTCCCACATTGACCACAGAAGGGTGTTCGTGGTGAACCAAGGGTTGTGGTTAATACCGTTCACCCCACGGTAACCAGCAGGCAGAGCCGACTCCACAGTTGTTGGCTGTAGCAGGGACTGGAGCGAGGGGGTGGCTACCAAGGTGTAGACCCTGGAGACCATAGGAGGCACGGGGCGCAGCCACTGCCCGTGGGCCAGGGCTGCGCATGGGCGGAAGGATCCAAGACCCTGTCATGTGCAGGAGAGCCTCCCAGCTGGCTGCGACCTGTCCCCAGAAGCCCAGCTCCTCCCTCCTCTGGGGCCCCATGGCCCTCACTGTCCCAGGCTGGCCTCACACCAACAACAAAACCATAGAGAAGAGCCTCAGAGATTCATGATCACAGAAGCCCCAAATCTACAAACCATTTAAGAGGCACGTGTTCTGGACACAATCTGACAAATAAAAAACAACTGCATTTCTGTGCAAAAACACATTTTAAAGGCCAACAGATTGCAAACAGGAAGTTTTTAAGAACAAATCTAAACAGAGTTAAGAGACTGACGGGAAGATTGTCGACCTCTACTGAAGACACACAGCTTCGTACAAATGGAAACACACGCGATGTTCACAGACATAGGAAACTCAGTTTTATGATAACAAGGTCTTCTCAGAGCACACAGAATGACAGTTACAGGAAATGACACGCAGTACAATGCCTTTAAATAAAGGGCAAAACCTGCAAAACTGAATACATCATCTGAGAATAAACATATAGGGCAGGGAAAAACCTTTCTCCTACCCTCTTAGATTCAGGAACTGAGGCCTGTGAATCAAACTGACAAAAGGCAAACTAGAAGAAAAGGCATACAATTTTTTAAATAACTAATGTGTAAATTTATTTTTCTGTGCCTGGAGGCTTTTTAGAGAAACAGTGGAGACCCAAAGAGGTGGTTAGGCCCAGAGCCTTAGGTACCATTTTAATAAAGGGCCATACCCAGGCATATATCTGGAGGGAACTCTAATTGGAAAAGACACACACCCCCCAATGTTTATAGCAGCACTACTTAACAACAGCCAAAGCATGGAAGCAACCTAAATGTCCATCAACATATGACTGGAGAAAGAAGTTGTGGTTATATGTAGAATGGAATACTACTCAGCCATGAAAAAGAATAAAATTCGCAGCAACATGGATGGACCTGGGGACTGTCATACTAAGTGAAGTAAGCCAGAAAGGAAAAGAAAAATACCATATGCTATCACTCATATATGGAATAAAAATAAAAAGCACAAATGAACTCATTCACAAAATAGAAACAGGCTCACAGACAGAGAAAACAAACTCATGGTTACCGGGGGGAAAAAGGGTGGGAAGGGATAAATTGGGAGTTCAAGATTTGCAGATACTAACTACTATATACAAAATAGATAAACAACAAGTTTCAACTGTGCAGCACAGGGAACTATATTCAATACCTTGCAGTAACCTATGATGAAAAAGAACACGAAAAGGAATACATGTGTGTATGTGTATGACTGAAACATCATACTGTACACCAGCAATTGACGCAACACTGTAAACTGAATGTACTTCAATTAAAAAAACAAAACCCACCAACAACAGAAAGTGAAGGGCCGTAAATTCATCAGGAAGTGACAAGACAAAGGAAAGGCAGCTTGGACTTCTGGGGTAAAAGTAACCGCTGGGGAACTGCGAGTGGGGGAGGCTAAGGGCACAGGAGCGCGGACCCGCCTCAGTGCGGACGGTCTCCAGTGCTGAAGGGGTTCCGGAGAGCGGGGGCACCCCTCCCCCGGGGAAGGGCTGTCCTTTCGCGCAGACGGGGGAGGGCAGAGGGCTCCTTTTGCATCTGCTGCTTAACTGCCTTCTGCTCTAAGCAGTCCTTGTGCACAAGGGGCATATGTGGTGCCACGGTCTGGCCGTCTCGCACAAAACAGTGAGGGAGTGATACACTCAGCTTTCAAAACGGTCACCTTCCGGGAGGAGGCCGGGGAGGCTCGGTCCGCGCGGGACCGCGGGGAGCTCTGGGCTGAAGTCCGGTTTCCTGGCGCTGGGCCGGGGGTTGGGGCAGGGACACCATCATTCCCGTGTCTCTTGTTCTTTAACTTGTACGTGTTTTCACAGAAAACACTCTGCTTTGAAAATAACAGGAACTTGTAAGAGGGGAAAAAAACCAAATTCTGCCCAAAGTAACTTTATTTCTCTTCTCGAACACATCAGAGTGAATATGCCATTTTCTAACCTTGCATCCAACAAGATTAGAAGGGAAATTAAGACACCCCCCAACCCACACCGCCCAGGGACAGGAGACGGCGGGAGGGACAGTCAGACGCCCACCGACGCCCTCACCTCGGAATCCGGGTGACCAGGAAGAGGGCCTGGGTGTGGCTGCTGCCCCTTTTGCACCGAGCCACGAAGGAAGTTAGAACCTAGACTGGTGCCTCTCCGTGATCCTGAGAGCTCACTTTCCAGCCATCGGTTCTGATTTTTCTCTTAAAAAATCAGACTGCAGGCGATGTAGTCGCTGGGCCAGAGTCCTGGCGTGCAGGGAGGTCTGAAAGGTCTACGGTCCTGTGATGTGTCCTCCGCAACTCTGGGGGATGAGGGGGAAGGGCCCCAACAGTCACACGACCCCCAGGAACAGTTCCAAGGTTCACAATGTCCAAGGTCAGCACGTGGTCAGTGATTCTTGCCAAAGCCACCCGGGAGCCACGTGGTGCAACTTGGTTTCTTGCAGAACGTAAAGTCCTGACCCTCCAGCCTGCATGGCTTTTCTAGAATTGGCAGTGGATTCCAGGGCGGGCCAGTGACCGGCAACATTCACCAGGATGAGAAAGATGGAGACTCCCGGGGGGTCCCTCGCGCCCCCGTGCGGAGCAGCGGGCCCGGAGCGTCTCTTTACTCCCCACCCCCACCATCGTCGGCCCCTCTGACTTTCGTGATCACTCAACATGCTCTATCAAAACCGCTGTTGAAGCTGCCCTCGCATCCGGCCTGGGCGGGACTGAGGGAAGACGTGGGGACTCTCACGTGAACTGCAAAGCAGAAATCATTCCCAGCGATTCTGAGAACGCACGGCGTGAGCGGGCGGCCCGCACCACCGCCTGGCCCCGCCTGTCGCCTGGCCCCGCGCCACCGCCGGTCTCCGCCGCAGCCTCTCACGAAGCTTCCAGTGAAGGGCTTCAGGAGTTCACCCTTCCACGCACACGGGGAGCACAGACCAAACGAGGCCCGGCGGGAGCGCCCCGCCCCCGAGCGGGAAACAAATCGAAACATCGACAGTCAGGACCCCGCAGGCAGCCTTCCGGCTTAAAGGACAAAACTTGCAATAAATACAGAGAAGTAAGTGTGAAGATGAGAAAAGAACAAACCTGGCCCACGGACACAGCCTCGGGGCTGCACCGAAGTCAGCCCGGAGGGTGGGGCCCTCGCCCCAGGGGTGGGCCCTCGGCGTGAAGCTCACCCACCGCGCAGCTGCCCTCTGCCGTCCACCCTGCGCCTCCAGGGAGCACAGGTTTTCTATATTTAAAGCAGTAAGACACGTGCGAGGGCTTTACAAGCTGCCAGTCCCAGAGCTCCTGCCTTGGTCCTGCTCCCAGCTGGACTGTCTCAGAAACAGCCCTAGGATGAAAGCCAGAACCGAGGGCGTAAAGACACAGCGCCGTCACTGTCAGCGCCCTCCTCGCGCTAAATCGGGCTGCTCTGCAAGTGTGACCTGAAGCAGGACTGTTGCAGGGACAGGGAGGGCCCGGTAACGACGCCTGGCCACGAGCCAGGACGCAGGCAAAGACCACCAACTGCTCTCCAGGCCTGGCTCACGGCTACCAGAACGAGCCGGCGAATCCCACCTGCGGCCCTGCAGACACCGCAACCCCGATGCAAAGCACTCATGTTGCACCGTCCCTAAGATCACAGCAACGGAGCCACTGACGGGCCGTGGTCAAATCTGCACTGGTGGCACGGCTGCAATCGCGAAGCTGGCGCCCCACACCCGCCAGTGCTGCCTGCTGACAATACGTTACAGGAGACGCAACC